TTCATCACTGAAAAATGTGATGGCTATTTTTCACACTTACAGCCTTTCCAGCATCCCTCTGATCACGCGATCAAAATTCAGAGACTTGGCAAAGGGTTCATATTTATGTGTGGTCCCAAGGTTGTGTCCCAAGGTCATGTGATCCCCTTTTGCAACCTTCTGACAAGTAAAAATCAATGGGGAAGCCAGATTCACTTAACAACTGGGTTACTAACTTACCAACTGCAGTGATTCACTTAAAAACTGGCAAGAAAGGTCGTAAAATGGGGCAAAACTAACTTAACAAATGTTTCACTTAACCACAGAAATTTTGGCCTCAATTGTGATCGTAAGTCGAGGACTATCTATGCATTGTATGAAGTACCTACAAATAGTTATAGCCATATTGTACAGTAGATACTTAGTCCGTTTATACTTTATTTAGGAAATAAAAGCACCAATTCTTCTGTTAGCAAAACTAATGGATGGTGGCCAAGCTAGTTATGTTCTTTGTCTGTGCCTCAAAACAATTAGTTGTTATTATTAAGTAAAGAATCTGATGAATAATAGTTCTTATAGGTAAACTACAGATTTTAGTTCTTTTCTTTTTGTGTCCCCCAAAACTTAGCAGAAATAAGATCATTGTTTTGAAAATCTCAGGCTATGAAATTCAAACTGAAAATGAAAGCATTATCGGCACATCTTAAAGATTGCTTTCCATTAGTTGTTAACAGTGCTAGAGCTGTCATAAAAGGGTATTGAGGGTTTTTGTGCTTGATAGAAAAGATATTTGGTAAGGAATCCTTGGGACTTCTGCATTGCTATTGTTAGTTTTCTTGGCACAAAAGAGAAGGGTTGTAACCAATATTAAAGAATTCCTTTACAATCTCTTCTGGAAAAATGGAAATCTGTCATAGATAACAGCAAAGGTAAAATGTCTATTGAGTTAGAGTTTCTTGTCAAAGTATGATTATGTGCTGCTTCTCAGATGCATATCTCAATTAGTTGTATCTGAATATAGGAATTAAGATCCACAAAATATATAGAAATTTGATATTAAGAAATCTGGATGAACAACTTTAAACTTATTTTATTGGCCTAGAAACTTTTCCCTTTTTTCTGAGTTGTTTGAAACAAAAAATATTAGTAGACTTGAACAAAAGACACAGATATTGATAAGAGTTTCTTCTACACAAACATTTCCAAAAAAGGGTCAGAAGGATGCCCATTAATAAAGCGTGAAGGCATTATTTGTCTTCTGTGTTCATTGGCATCCCTAAGGTTCCATGAAACCATAGCAACTAATAGCTCTTGATACAGGATACTTTTCCTATATGACTTTGTGTAATCTAGAAATAGACAGCCAAGTCTCTGGCAATGCCACAGCATTAAGAATTTAGCTTTGGGTAGCTACTGGGCTCTATACCCTACCTGGATTTTATTTTATTTTAAATTAAATGGAAGGCCTCTAGAGCAAGAGAAGGTAGAATACTATAATTTGTTTATAAATAAATGTAACTGGTTGTGTCCACCTTAACAGCAATTTCATGAGAGTACCTATGACATTCTCTGAAAATTGCAAACATGTCCAACAGCTGAAAAGGGTTACTTAATCAAACATGTAAAAGCCACGGTGACTTGTTAAGAGAAGTTCGGTTTGCAAATGTGCTTTCTTTTACCCATCCTGCTTATTGCCAGCCATTTGCAATTGTTAATATTAAATCCTAATGTTGTGAATTAAGGAAGACAAAAGATTTGCCAGTTGCTGCTTTTACATGCAGCTTGTAATTTATGACTTAACACTCTAGAGGGCACAGTTTGCTAGAAAAGTACCTGCTTGATTTTTTTTTTTTAATGAGTAAGAATTAACCAAAGACACAGTAAATTGCTGTGGGGTTTGAATGCATTTATTTGTTTATGTCTTCTGGAAGGTAATAGTGCCTTTTCACTTATTATTATAATTGTAGGAAGAGGCTTCTTGGCTTTTTAAAAATTACCATTGTTGGAAGATATGTCTATCTGGGTTCAGTTCCAAGTGGAAAGAAAGACACTGGAAACATGTAGGCTGTTTGGAAAGATGGTTTAATGATAGGACCACATGGTTCCTAGCAATCAAGCATTTGGGTGAGAGAGAGAAATTTATACCCTCTCTTGGGCTTTGAACTTGCTTCCTGTTCCTGTGAAAGAAATGTTATCCTGACTGGTTGTCAGACTATGATGGGGCCATGCAGGGGTAACTTTGTAGGTTGTCTTGAGTCCCAGGCTTGGTTGAATCTTGCTGGGTGATGTAATGAAGGGGCTTTGGGCAATTCCTATTATGACTTAATGGCTTAGATCTGAGTGAGGGCTAATCCCATCACCCTGGAGCTAAACTTCTTTGGTCTTATAGATAGGATGGCCCAGTCTTTCTGGGGCTGTTAGCAAAGGTGGGGTCTGCTTTCCAAGAGCATGTATCTCCTTTTCTCATCCAGGGAGGTATAATATTCTGCCTTTTTAATATTTCCTAGATTATTTCATTCTAGGAGAAGGGGTGGTGCTAACTTTCTACACCATAAAATTACTTTCATTAAAATCTTGGATTTTGTGAAGTATTATGAAACAATATAGTGAAGTCTTATTATTAAGAGAACAATGTACATACTCCTCTCATAGCTACTAAAAATCTACCAATTTCAGTACAGTGTCTGTTTACTAGGCTGGTTGGGAAATCATGTGGCCTTCATTGTGACCGTTCCCTCCCCTCCCCTCCCCTGTTGCTACTTAAACTGTTTCGTGTGGTTTTCAGTTAGTTTGTCAAAGAACTGCAGAAATATTATCTCAGAATTAAAAGGTCTTCTCCATTTGCAACTGCATTATAAAAAGTCATAGTTAAGTAGTTTCTACTGCCTTCAGATGTCTTACATTCTGATGGAAGCTTTTTGCTTCACTTCAGATTGTTACTTTTTTCTTTAGAAATATTTTGTCCTTGAATAAATGCATTCTAGGGAGATAGCAAACTATAGCTATTTTCATAGGAAATAGGTATATTTGTCAACCAGTCATCTCTGAAAGGATCATAAATGTAAATCTATTCAATGTTGCATTCAGAGAAGGTAAGTTGCTACTAGGAGTCTTGGTAATTTTCCAAAAATAAGTATGTATGGAAAATAGTCTTAAGGACTAACTTTTCCATGGAGCTTAGATTTAGGAACAGAAAAATTCAACAAAAAATGTACAGGTTCACATGTTTCACAAAGGCATGTTACAGTAATTTTTTTTGCCTTAGTATGTGATATTAACAGCTACTGTAGTTACTGTGTAAATTAGGATTGAGCAAAAAAAAAAAAAAGGCTTAGTACAAGTGCCAACCTGCACTAAGTGTGCCAACCTAAATAAAATTAATCTGAATGAAGAACTGTTAATTTTTAATGAGATTTTTTTCCTTCTTAATCTTTTAAGGTGAAATGCAAATTAATTTTAATTTTACAGAAAATATTTCTGTATGCCTACAGCAAGAGAAATTAACATCCATCAAACTTCAGTTTGTGGAATCTTTCTCCCTCTTAGAGATGCTGCTTATAGCTGTTTCTGTTGCTTCTAGAATGTTTAATACACTATAAATGCAGGCATTCAATAACTGAATGTATTTTAAAATGATACTTAAAATATACTACTGATTTTATTTTGCATTTTACAAGATTGTAGTCATAAACATTGTAGGCATTCCTGCTTGAAAATTTTCCCTTAATTGCATTGCCACATTCTTACATAGCCCTGAGTAATTTTGATATTTGCTTTTTTGCAAAAACATAAAGATGTGGCACAGAGCAAAAGAAGCATATAGTGATTTGCAGTGAATATAGTCATTATGTTTCTTTGTCTGCTTTGCCAATTTATCTTGTCAGAGGCTGTTGCATTTTGCAAAAATATTTTTGAAAACTGCTACAATTTCCCCCCCACATGGTATGCTCCATATCTTTATTGTCGTGTGCAACAAAATGCCTTTTGCAGAAATGTTACACTTATTATCCTAATAGTAGTACATTCATGTGTGCCTTTCTTTTATCATCTGCCACCACAGATTTATTTAAAAGACTCCTAAAAGCCCCTGAGGAGAGAAGAACAAGATTAGCTCTGGGGTCTGGTGAATCCAATGGATACAATTAAAGTAGTTCAAATACCACTATGGAACTACCTGTTTGCAAACCACTTTTTCCCTGGATAGAGTCTTATCAGATGATTGGTTAAAGATAACAGTATGAGAGAGTAGGTGAGATCACATGTTGATTCTCTTATTATAGTTAGGAAACTCAGCTGCTACAAATGAAGTTGTTTGGGTTTTTTTGGCAACTAATGGTATTCCAGATGTTATCATTACACATTGCTCTCAGGTGTTTCAGTGAGAAGTGATTTAAATGTATAATCATTATTATTTGAAGAATTGTGTGTTGTATTAGGAGCAATAATATGCCAACAGAAATGAAATGTTTAATTGCAGTCCTTTGGATTACTGTTACTATTAGTCACTGTACATTGGCATGTTCTTTTTAAGTGAGAGTAGTTCATTTTCAGTTCTGTTGTAATGTGATTGTGCAGAACTAAAAATTGGGGGATTTTTTTTTTACTTTATACTATTGGGTTTTTTTTAATGGTAGACCTCTAGATATCTGGATACAATCTACATCTTCATTTTTGCTAGTCTTGTTACAGATTAGGATGGTAACATTTTCACAGTTGGGCTGCATTTAATATTTGGATTGGGAGAAAGGAAAGGCCATAGGGACAGGATTATTGAGAAAAACAGAAAGGCTGTTTCAAATGTATCAGCAGGACTGAAATTTTCTGCCTTGGTTTTGTAAGAAATATGCTGTAAGTTTGCTTTATCTAACAGGTATAAGTCTACCTCAAAGACCTACAGTGCTGTGTTTCTCAGCTAACAGTTTGCAGCAATCACATTGTGTAATTAAACCATGAATTTGGGAGCCCCCTCACATTTGGAGGAACTTCAAATGTCCAGTGAGATCATATTTAGTATGGTAAGATGTAATAAGGTAAAATACTATTCAAAATTCCCAAAATTTATAATAGTTGAGAATGTTGAGAATTATAGCTTGATGTTATTTACAGGTTGTTAGGGATATACACCCTAGCAGAATCCGCACGGCAGTCAGGCAGGCAGGCAAATATATGAGATAAACGTTGTTGTAGCTTACACTCAGTAAAACAGATACACAGTGCTAGTTAAATAGTTTATTCCAGTAAGATTGTTAGCATAGTCAAACAGTCCATATATCATACACTTAGTTCAGTCCGTCCAGGGATTAATCAGTTGCAAAGTCCAGTGTCGAAAAAGAGGTCAGTAAACTTACAGATATCAGTCCAGTAATTTATCTCTTCGCAGTATGAGATAAGAAGAAGTAAAAACTCTTTTCTTCCTTCAGCAACAGCAAATAACACGCAGTTAACAATCCATCATTGTCAGCAAGGAATCCAGTAAACCAGCAAACAGTTCAGGTTCTCTTGCTCCCTCTTATGGCGATTTACAGCCGCACCCAAAATTACATGCTCTGCATTTAAAGTGACAAACACTATTATAGTCTATATATATTATTTTACCCAAACTGTTAGGTAACCATGTTATTCCTAACACAGGTTGCTGGTTTGCAAAATGTTGATCAATTAATATTTCAGATTAAAATTCTAAATTAGATTGAAACTAATCATTAAAGTGGTATAGAGCTGGTGTCTTTTTATGTTTCTTTCCTCTTTTGTCCAGTAAAATGCAATTTATGGCAATGAATAGTATGTTCTTCTGCCTCCTCCACATAATTTTTGGAATGGACCACAAAAGTTACATTGCTGCTAAATAATAACTTAGAATCTTTTAAACATTTTCATGATATTAATTTTGTAAAAGTTTCAAAATTCAGTATAAAGGCTAAAATATAATAAAATATTATAAGACCATCAAATGGACTATATAAATTACCAATCAGATCTTTTGGGCTTTTCTTAAACAAAATGTCAAGGGCATATAATAATTGGCTATCTGTCATGACCTTTGCAAGGTTTTTACAACTTGGAATCTAAACAAAGCTTCACAGATTTCACTTAAGAGCCCTGAAAATTAGTATCTCATTCCTCAAGCACTTTCACTGCCTTTGCCATTTAGGAAAGCTTGAATGAAGAGCATGGGACATTATGTTCCAGGAAAGTGGTTAATTTTCCAGGCTGCTTTGAAAATTGTACCCTTAAAACAAACCTGAAAAAAATATTTGTGTACTATTCAAACAGTCTTAAATGGATATTGATTTAATAAAGGAAAAGGGCTGCTGTTTGTATGTCATTAGAACTTCGGGGTTTTCTGTAAATGGAAAGTTTCTAATTGTCTTTTATGTGCAAAAATAAGTGTTTTTATGGAGGAATATTATTGTATGTTATGGATTCTTATTGTTAGGCAATCTTGTTAATTATTTGCTTAAAAATGGAATAAAACTGGATAAGTGGGCTAATGACCAATATGCAAATCAGCATATAAGGTCACATTTTAATTATTAGGTATTTTTGTGAAAGTTGTGCAATATCCAAAGACATGGGTAGATGACATACATGAAAAGTTTATGGCAAAACGAATGAAACCACAGGGTTTGTAGAAAATGAACTCAATTTTCTTATTTGTACTTTCAGAGGCAAGAATTGCTTAAATTTAAGCAGAGTACTTAAATTTTTGGTTGGCAATATGGGCAGATAGGGAATTAAATCTCTATGTCTCATCCCAATTCTTTTATAAACTATAGATAATGAGTTATTACAAAGGAACAAAGTTGTACTTTTGCCCATAATTGGTGAGAAGCCTAAGAAAAAATAATCAACAGAAATCATAATAAGATGTAACCTTATTTGCTTTACAAAAGTTATATGAAATTCATTGCATTATGTTTAATTACTTTGCCACCTATATGATTTTACAAATACAATACTCATTTAGCTATTTTTAAAATGTGTTAATTATGTAGGAATTATAGAAGAATTAAGGTTTATGAAAAGTAGGTATATTACAATATTTCAAAAACTGGGAATTCCAAATCTGCTTGTCCTTAAAATTGGCAGTGCTTTGTTTTAAAGTCTGGGGTTTTTTTACATACAAAATTCTAACTGGAAATATGCATTAAATTATTTTATTTCAACTTTTTATTGTCATATGTAGAACGGGAGAATAGTATAGTTTTCTTCCTCATCTAACTTTACATTAGTTACAGTAAGGTTTCATTGCATCTGCTTATCTACTAAGGGAAACTGCAGTATCTGAATATAATTTCCTAAAAGAAGAACAACTTAAAAGGGAGCAGGTATCTGTAAATAAGTAGAAATGCAACTAGGAAGAGGTTTTGTCTCCTGCCTTCTAAACAGCCCACATTTTTTTTTCATTGACAGAATTGTTGGACAACTCTAGAAATAAAGGTGGTTAAGCATGCCCATGAATTGCAGTGGTTAAAATGTTAACAAGTCTCAAGGACTCTTGCTTTGAATTTCTCAGTCAACCAAGGAGCTTTCTGTTGATTTGGCAGTCATGCTCCCTAGTTTTACTTACTACAAATCTGATGAAATAAAGAGATAACTTCCATTTATACTGCTTTGAATCACATTGTTAAAAATTCTATTATTAATATATTGGTAGGGCTTGATTTGATTAATTAATCCCACAAAATGGTTGCATTTTTCAAATCCGCACTATTCCAGATGATTCTTCTGTGAAAAATATGGTAATTGATTCCATCTCAAGAAAAATAGGTAATGAAAATGATACATTTTATATGTTTATGAAATATTGCAATAGATAAAAATATACACTTTAAATTCATGGTTAACAAAATTGCATAGTAATTCTAGAAAACAAACATTGTACTCTATAAATTCAGGCAACCCAATATCTTATCATTAAAGTACCCTATTTTAATGTTACTATGACCATATTCATGTTATTGAATTACATTGTTTTTTTCTCTGTAATGTCCTAAGAAACTTTTTTTTAATGTGTATTGTTTTCCTCCATTATAAGGAATAAGAAATCTCAAATAAGGAATCTTCCATTCCTCCATTTTGTACACATGAAGATTGTGCATGTGTGTGTGTGTGTGTGTATGTGCTTGCCTTTGAGTCAGTGTGGCTGCTGATTGCCTGAGTCACCCAATTGGCTTGGTGCCTGAGGTGGGACTAGAACTCACGGTCTCCTGGTTTCTAGCTAGGTGCTTAATCACTACACCAAACTGGCTCTCGCATGAAGATTAGCAGCATCTAAAACTCCATCTGCAATTGAGCATGCACTAGCCTCTGCTTTATGCATGTTAGCCTCACGTTAATTCTATTTTAAGTTACAGTCCATCTGACTTGATATCAACTTAAAATTTGCACTCAATGGAATATTGCATTATTCAAACACTAATCACAATCTACCTATATAATATTGTTTTTAATAAGTCATTTACAAACTATTAATTCAAAACACTGTCATTTTTAAAGCAAAGATTTTGTTAAATGTTGTCCAATTGCACATTATGTCTTTTCTGTGCAACAAAGATACAAAGTGTAAAAGTTAACTACCAAAGAAATGGCAAGCAGTTGTTGCCTCATATGCTGCCATTTGTAGTACTACATTCCAACTTTGAAAATGTAACTTCAGTATCATAGTTTCAAATTTCTCAGAAAATGTGGAACCTGTTTTCATAAGATTTTTTTAATAAAAATATTTACTAATAAAAATATTTTATATTACTGTTGCTTTTCTTTTGGCAGCTCCATTGAACAAATTTCCAGGGTTTAAAAACTGCAGCATGTCTCCAATTATTGGATGCAGCTGGAGGATATGTTTGTACAATAATCGTATGAATCACCATGTCAGCACAAATACAAAACAAGTAATCAGAAGAACTATCATTCTTATCCCAGTTCTTTCTCCCAACAAATCCAGAATATGGTGGTGATAATTAAAGGGGAACCACAGTCTGCCCACATAACATCTTTGCACTGTGAGCTGCACTGGTCTCTGCTTCCATGTGTAATTCAAGTTTTCATCTGTAAAACTCATTCTGGCACAGGGCTAGGTTACTTGGAGGACTTTTTTTTGTATACATTTCCAGTTGAATCTGCCTCTCCCAGTAGATCCAATGGTACCATGCTATGGGTTGCTTCTATAAAGCAATGTCATCTGTCAGGTTGCCTTCTCAGTTGCAATGCCTACCTTCTGGAACAGCTTTAAGATTCAAATGTCCCCGACACTGCTGCTTTTTAATAAGATATTTGGTAACACAATGACAATAACTGCTGGTCTTTTAGTAAGATTTGGTAACACAAATATCTGCTGGGCTTTCTCTCTCTCTTTCCTCCCTCCTCTCTCTCTCTCTCTCTCTCTCTCTTTCCTCTCTCTTTCCCCCCCCCCCCTCTCTTTCACACACACACATCCTGACTGAACAAAAGAAAGTATCTAGGCCACTCTGAATAGTGAACTCAGTGGTAGTGCAGAGGCTGGAGCTAAGGTAGATGTCTGGCCTTGACTTCAGCCCTAGTGCCATTGTTGCCATTCTAAAAGCTTGCTTCATACCACTCCCCCAAGCATGCAAGCTTCAGGGAACAGCACAACTGGCCTTTGTGATGCAGTGATTGCAGGATCATCTGCATGCCACTTACCTTCAGGCAGTGTTCTTTTCCTGTTGAAAGGCTCAAATGGCCTCCTTCAGGCAACTCCTTTGTCCTTGAAGCAGTTTTGTGGAGAAAGCATTTCCGCAGCTTATGGAAACTGCAAAATGGACAGTGATTCTTGCACAATTTTTGGAAGCTTCAGAGGCCAAATGAGACCACACCCCCATTGTTTGGAAGTCTCTGTAGTCTCCAAAAGTCATGTGAAAATGGGACATGCTTTTGAGTGGAATTGTTATCAAGTGTTGGTGAATGCTGGCATGTCACTCAATATCAAGATGTGTCACCTTTGACATGTGTCATAGGTTCTTCATCACTGTGATACTACAATAGATTGTTGATCTTTTAGCTTTTTGATGTTGTCCTGTTGTTACCTGGATACTGATGGCAAAAAGCATGCTCTCTTCCATTTAAAATCAAATAAAATATAACTAAGTTTTTAAAAAAAAAAAATAACAGGATTCATGCCAGTAAAAATAGGTTCATTACAATCTCCTTTATTGTGATTCTATTCAAAGGTCAGATGATAAATATTCCTTGTACAGGATCTTATGTTAGAAATGAGTCTTTGTAGGCGAAAGGTATCTGGGTGGAGTATTTGGAACAGCGTAAGATGGATAAGTTATGGCATTCTGATTCCATACACTGGATTTTCATTGCACTAAATGTATAATGTTGGTCTTTGTCCTGTTTTGTATTCAGAATTTAATTTAACAATGATCTAAGAAAATATCAAATAGCTAGGGAAAATGAAAAAGATTAAATGATTGGAAGATGAAATTGAGCTAGTTTCCATGTATGGATGTGGCTTTTCACTATTATATTCATGACATTATACATGCGATAAGTCTCACAATCAACAATATAACAGCAATGAGCAATGTGATAAGATGACATGTCCCCACTTTTCTCTTTTAGATCCTCAACAAAGCTAACCAATTTAAAGATTTTTGGGGGGTTGTTATTAAGTAAAAGAAGCTGATATTTAATTACCCTTCAAGATATCCTATATTTACATTGGTTGCTTCTGAATGTTTTCTAGTCCAAGCTGGAAGGAAGGAAGCCTGAAGCTTCTGGCTACTACAGTGCTACATAATTTGAGAGAGAGAGAGAAAGAGAGCAAACAGTGCAAAGGAGTGGCATGTATTTCTGTTAAGACATTTGCACCAACTGTTGCTTTCATGAACTGAGGCTTTATGGTGATATTTATTGGTGAGGGCTGCAAGTTACAAACTCTTTAAAGAGTACATTGAGTTGAGCAAGAGAAATTTTCCACAGGTTGCTGGGGACAAATAAAACAAGTCTAGTACTACTTTACTGTATACCTTTATGAATTAGTTATAAAACAGACTATGTATGCCTTCATTGATGCAAATATACCTTTCACCTGCAGTTTCCTTTGACTTCTGTTATAAAAAGGCATCCAGTCTGAGTTTTTATATATATAAATAGATGCAGAACATTAGTTTCAGTAGCAAGATACTGTGTCTAATGACATACTAAAAACAATTACAGGTGAAACTCAAAAAATTAGAATATCGTGCAAAAGTTCATTTATTTCAGTAATGCAACTGAAAAGGTGAAACTAATATATGAGATAGACTCATTACATGCAAAGAAAGATAGTTCAAGCTGTGATTTGTTATAATTGTGATGATGATGGCTTACAGCTCATGAAAACCCCAAATCCACAATCTCAGAAAATTAGAATATTACATGCAATCAATAAAACAAGGATTGTACATAGAACAATATCAGACCTCTGAAAAGTATAAGTATGCATATGTACTCAGTACTTGGTTTTTATTTTTTATTTTATTTATTTATTTGATTTGCCAATTGTTTACAAGATAATA